TGCTCTGTGTGCATACATTCTAGAAGTAAAACAATAGAGGAGGAGGAAGAGAAGGAGAATGGCGAACCCATTTTTTAACCTAACATTTAGAGCATTTATCCAAGAAGCAGACTTGTGCTCTAGGGTCCCCTCAGAAAACCGAACTTGCTTTTCAGAAAAATGCTCTAAAATCACTAGATCAAGGGCTAGACACTGGCTAAAGCACTCTCTAGCCCTCCTCTTGAAGCTGGTCCATGGCACTTTGAATTTAAGTCACTGGATTAAATTGGACCAATACCATTAGGATACTTTCAACCTCACTGTGACCAGAGCCTCAAGCTAGGACTTAGGACCCCATCTTTTCCAGAGCACTGTCCAATCTTCGCTTTGACTTGCTCCTCTCCTTCTTTCCTAACATGTCTTCCCTGCCTGGATGTCCAGTGGCCAGGCTTCAGACAGGTGCTCTGGGTAATGCTGCCTATTCTGATATTTATGCAATGTGCAACCACATTTATTTCACACCTAAAAAAGCTGATTGTGTGTATTTAAATAATATTAACTATTTCTATTAAATTCTGTCCAAATGGAGAAATACAGAACCCACTTTGTTTTTAAAGCATGTATTTAGAATTGGATCAAGTAGAATTGGAAAATGTACAGAGCGGCAACCAAAATGCCAAAGGAGCACACCTAGGTAAATCCCCACTATAGATCTGTCTGCCACTTTTGGCATTTGACAAAGAGGGGAAAAAGTGCCATTATGTATGGATAGGCTGACCCTTCTCTGCAGGAATAATTAAGAGAAATCTAGGTGTCACAACCCAAGGGTGTGATTTTGTGTGTGTGTGTACTTCGGCACTGCTAAATTATTTCCCGCCACGAGAAGCTTTCTTTGCAGTGTGCATTTCTCAGTTGCAAAGAGAAAACCCCGGTGCAAAGGAGTTCCCGCCACCCGCATGCAAATTTGTGTCCCACTATTGGCCAGTTCTAAATTATTCCCACGTGGCAGCTAGCAATTGGCTTGCTAGCCTTATAAGAGGCTTGAGCGGTTTCCACCCAAGTTGGAGGACTCCATAACCATCTCGTGGAGGAGGAGGACTTCACGTCTCGTGAAGAACTCTAAGCGCTGCGGAGCCTAACGGACCCAGCGTGTGCCTTAAGAAGGCTATAGGGGTCTGATCAACCTCTAGCCTCTCCCCATCGCCGAGCACGATCCCCTTCCCTGCGCGCTTGTTCCACGGAGCCTAGCAAGCTTTGTGTGTGCGTGTATCCAGAGCTCTTCTCCGAGTTATTTTCTCCGGTTGATTCGATGGGCTCGCGGTTTTAGAGCTTTCAGCCGGATTGGGCTAGAGTTCGCGAGGTTAGAACTCTTGTCCGCTCTTCTTTCCTATCTGTAACTGCAACTCAAGCAAGTTTTCCTGCCTGCACCGCGACCATCTACGGTGTAAGTAAAATAATCTTTAATCAACCGTTACGCATCCGTGCCTAATTCTAGTCCGCCAGCCTGCATTCCCCGACCCGCGTGCCAGGACTGCTGGCCACAGCCCGCCGCGCGCCCCCGAAGGCCTCAGACCGCTCCCGGCCCGCACACTAGGTAGAACACTCAGGTGACAGCACCTATGCTGCCATTCCCAGAAGTGTTTAAAGCAGTTGGAAACATTGGCACATGAACTACTGTGAGGTAAAACAAGCTTGTGAACTGACTCTGGCGTATGCAATGCACTGTAACTTCCCATATGCTTACTCTTACTCAATAGTTAGTGTGAGGTAGCATACCCCTTAATAGAAGTGCTGTAAGCTGCCTCACATTTACAGTGAGACAAGTGTGGACACAGGTACTTACTGAACTTACAGACAATTCATACCCCACTTCCTTGCAATAACTTGTTCCTATGGCTTAAGCCATAGGCCTACAAACAGGTTAGTAACTCATGGCAAGTCAAGCTGTCAACACATGACAACCTCAGAAGTTTAGTTCCATTACAATAGTGGCAAATCTATGCCTGGACAAATTAGTGATAAATCTGTCACACTTTCAAAACCGTATCTTTCAGTAGAGCCTCCTGATTTCCCATGCTTTCAAATGTACAGTGTGTTTACTTGTATACAGCAAACTACAATGGGATCCAGGCTCTTGGCCATGCGCTTCACCTCTCCATTCATGAGTCGCCCACAGCCTTAGAAGCCAAAACCCCATCAACTTTCTATTGGAATTAAGGGCATAACCTGATTACATGTTTCTGTAAATCCCACCAAGCTCCTATTTCTGTACTGAGGCACTTAGAAGTAGATTTACAAATGTATTTAAGTAAATAGAATCCTGAAGTTTTGATTTCAAGAGAGTAAGTCTGACAGTGATAATTCATTATAGGATTTTTGCTTCAGAATCCATATTTAATATATGCAAATTACCAGGACCAAATATTTGACATGCATGAAATAATTTCATTTCTAAAGAAAATACTTCCAGGTTTGAAGCCTTATGAAAATAAAAATAAAAAACACATGGAATATGTTAACAAATTACTTAACACCAAAATAAGGCACAATTCCAATTAAAAGAGCAACAGGTCAGGTTACAGACTTTCTATTTGAACACTTAAAACAATTGACTTTTGGACATCATGGATTTCTACATTTCAATCCTTCATGCTAGTATGACTGTGCTTCTAAAAGAGAGCAATAAATTTTGTGTCTAATATTAAAAGTTGACATTACAATTGCTATTGATAATAAGGCTCAACCTCCCAACAATTTCACATGGGTACTGTGAGATGGACAGCAGGTTCATACAAGCATTTGCTGTGCCTACCCATTCCCTTTCTTTAGATGTCATTATGCATTTAAAATGAATAGCTCTCTCCTCCAATCTCCCTGAGATGACCTATTTTATCCCAACTTTTTTTCTGTTCAGCCATGCTTTCAAGCTCATGCAATCTAGAAGGAAAGATAATAAGGCTTATTTTGGTGCTGTTTCATTCATCCTTCAGTGGAGACTCAAAATCGATACTATAAAAAAAAAAAAAAATGGCCTGAACAACCCATGGGAGAAAACTAGTCATATACAAGTTGGAGTAATCTGTACAATAATTGAGAGGTGAGAGAACTGCCACTAGTTTATAAGAAAGCTGAAAAGAGAATAAGTGCTATAGTGGGTCAGATCAATGGTCCATCTAGACCGGTAATCCTACCTCAAAACAGTGGCAGAAGTGGATGCTTTAGAGGAAGAACATTGAATCAGATGCATTTAGAGTGATCTACCCACCATTACCCTCCCTGGCACCCACCATTATTGGTTTAGAGATGCCAAAAGAAGCATCTGTAATTGTTATGTTCAACATCTATTAAGAGTTCTACCATCCATTAATTTGTTTAGTCCCTTTTTGAACCTGGCTGCACTATCTGCTTCTACCGCCTCCTGTGGTAAAGAATCCCACAAGCTACTTGCATGTTGTGCAAAGTACTTTTTCTTTTTAGTTTTAAACCTATATCTCCTGCTAACTTCAGCAGGTGTCCCCTAGTTCTAGTATTCTGGGACTTAATGAACAATAGTTCCGTGTTTACTTTGTCCAGACTACCCAGTTTTATAGGCCTCCATCATATCCCCCACCCCCTACCCCTCTTCTTTCCAAACTTGAGTGCTAGACTTTTCAGTCTCTCCTATTATGGCAACTGCTTTATACCCCTGAACATTTTGGTTGCCCCTCTGTACATTTTCCAATTCTACTTTATCCAATTCTAAATACATGCTTTAAAAACAAAGTGGGTTCTGTATCTCTCCATTTGGACAGAATTTAATAGAAATAGTTAATATTATTTAAATACACAATCAGCTTTTTCAGGAAATACACATCACAATGTGAACTTTTTTAAATTATTGTGATGAAAACATTCCTAAGGTTTTCCTGAAAACAAATTATCAGTCTTATTCCTTTCATTTGCTTACTTAATTCATTTGATAACACTTTGTGAATAGTCCTTGCTTCAAGGTAGCCAGCTTTCCTGTTGCTCAATAAATCTTTCACAAGGAGAAAAATAGTTTTCATTAAAAGAGAGAAACTGTTATAAGACCACAAAAACTACTGGAGTGACACGAAGGCAGGCTTGATGTCTAAAGACAGCTTAACTATTTTTTTTTATTTTTGAAAGTAACAAAATGTTAAAGTTGATGATAGTCTCAGCCTTTACCCTATCAGTCTGCACATACTAGAGTCTCCTTTAATTGGAAGTATCCTCTGTCTAATAGACTGATGCAGGAATTCAGTTGTAACCCAAGCCCACAAGCTGTGAGAAGTAAAGAGGAACAAATCAAAGTAAAATCAGTTCACCTGTTTTTCTTTTTAATGTATATGGTAAAAGGTATTATTGTTCATGGTATTTATTGCAACTGCCAAAAATAAAAGAACGTAGTAGACAATCAGATATCACTGTGCCAGAATAATGAGTACACACAACATCTAAATAAAGTAAATACTGCAACAGTATTTTAAGTTGCTTAGCTAGCTTTTAGAACAAATTTTATTTTTTCACTATATAGCAGTTCTGCAAAAATCAGCTACCCAGTTGCCTCCTTTTTCTACCCTCTTATAACCCCAGTGGCATGTATGAACTTAATGGTGTAGGATTGCTCTTAATTTCCTCCTTCTACTTTTTCCCCTCAGGGGGCAACTACTCTCAAAGCAAGCACTGTATCTACCATGTGGATATCCAAATAGCCTGTACTGTTTACTAAGATTGCTTTTTTCAAGCAAGCTACAATACATGGAAACATGCATCTGTTTTGGAGACTGGTTACAGTTCTACAAACTAGCACCTTTCCTTCCCCTCCACCTCAATTAATTTAAACAAATTTTACCATAGCAAAAATAAGACTTCACATGCATTACTAAAGAAAGACTTAAAAATAAGCAGATATCTAATTTTTTATGATCTATGGTTTCCTGAAAAAAAAATATAATTATGAGAACAAATTTTAGTAAACCTGACGATATCTTGGATTACAGTGACTATTTTTACTGTACCTGGGCTCCATAGATATATTTATCCAACATCTTGCCTCCTATTGTTTGCCCACCTATATCCCACAATTGAAGAGTAACATTCACATTTCCTGGGGGGAAAAAAAATACAGAAATTAGTTAACTTATTTGGAGAACTTACATTTAAGTATATTCAAGATGTAGCAGAAGCTTGTATAAAACACCAGTATACAAGTAAACAGCTTTCACAAACAGCACCTTCTATACCAAAGAATATTTAGACACATCAAAATACCTAGAGGAATACATCAACTGGAAGAAAAAAAAATAAAAAAGGTTCCTACTCTGTTATAAGTATTAAAACCAGTAAAACTAGATAGATATGAACATTTAAGTGTAAACAGACACTGAAAGAAAAACAAACTAGAATTGTGCACAGGGCAATTTCCCTAACTGAAGTTTAAAAATATACTTCAGTGAAGCAATTTGAAAATAAGTTTTACAAAAGAAAATTTGACAAGAAAGCAGCTGCACTGTCCTTCATTTCCAGTAATATCAACCTAAACTATGCATTTTATACCTGGAAAAGTTATTAAACTTCCTTTAAAAAGATTTAGAAGCTGGAAAATGCATACAAATAACTATTTTGTCAGTGCTGTTCCTAATACTACCATACAGCTAATGGATTATAATGCATCGTTATATTATCATGGAATTATTAACAGAACCCTATTTTCAAACTGAAAAACTTCCTCCTCCAAAAAATCTGAAGGACCCCAAAACTAACCACTTGGCCACAAACCTCACTTTACTTACAAATTCCCACTCTTTGAGAGTGTTTTCAGAGCCAGTTAATAGACCATCCTTTTTGGTTCATAATTCCAAACAATTTTAATATGAATTTTTAACTCATAATCTATATTTTAGATTAAAAGTGTGGGTACTGGGGGAAGAGGGGAGAAGTTTCCTGTGCTATAAAAAGTTTGCTGCTGTCTATGTAAGCATGCCAAATTAGTATTCATGCAATTTTAAAAATAGATGATTTAGCAGAACTACATTCTATAGGCAAATAATGACAATGAAACACCTACATCCTGATTTATGTCAACTTCATAACGGATTAAGAATTTTGACTGTCCTCTTTTGCTATTAGTTTAACACTTCCAGAGCTAAACTGAATACAAAGTAGCACCATATTCTAGCCCAGTTAAGATCAATGTAAATTTTCAATAACATCAATACACAGCTTAGGTTAATGGTATTTATAAAGTACAAAAATAATTTCTTGTGAATTATTGCACCTAGACAAAAACCACTATAAAAAATTTAACTGATTATACCCTAAGTAACAAAATTCAAGTTTAATACCTTTTAAAATAATCAAATCACTTGATATCAAAGGAAGGAAAACAGCACAATATTATGGATTATGAAAACAACAACACCTTAAATTTAAAACTATTGTTACTTTAAAAAATTAAAATTTTATATTACTGAACAATATCTTCCATTCACCCATCAATGAGCAGAAAATTTACAAGGAACTACCATTAGCATCGAGTCCTATAAAAGACTGCATAGCCTGCTTGTGATGAAAATGAATTTTACTGGTTTGTCACTACAGATACTAAGTTACAAATGTATAAATAGATATGCATTGTGTTACAAAGCACGGCTGATCCATTTGTATGGCAACCTCATTTTATTTTGGTTAAGTGTTCAAATTTTTTAACCTGTTCTTAAAAAATAAAAAAGTCAGTAGCCAGAAATTTCACATACATTCTGCAAGATTCAATTTATGCAAGAGAATGTAGAAACTTTACCTTTTATTTATTGAATCTCTTTTTATGAAATCCCCTTCTAAAATTATATAAATGGAATTTTTTTATGGAATCAGAGGAAACTGAACACTCAAAGTAAATTTAACTTTTCACTTGTAGAAAAAGCATATCTGTTCTGATAGTGACTCTTTTAAAGCCTAGAACATAAATCTGCAGTACCTACAGACAGCACAGGACTAGGTCTTCCATAACTTATCTGGCACAGACAAACTGGTGAATCAGCACTGTAAAGCAACTATGCTGCTTCTTCAGTGGGTAACCAAACTAAACATACTCAAAAGCCCACCAGACAAGGCATGCTGCTGCATTCTACATCTGACTTGGTTGAATGATTTTTCCCTGACAATTTTCCATTTAATTCACGCCAGATACAAGGAAAAAATATTTTAGAAATACTATAACTTTCAAAAACAACAGTTTTTATATGAACAATTTTGTACTAAAACGTTTTTAAATTATTTCCAACTGTATTCCCTGCCCCCCCAGGACAGAGTAAAATAATAGGTTCAATACTGGGATAACTGGGTCAAATTATCTGACCTCTGTATATAGGAAATCAAACGAGATGATTTGTCCCTTCTGGCCTTAAAATACATAACTGTGAAGTATTATTTTTCTTCTCTTGACTACAAAATAACCCCCAGGAAAATCCTTTTTTTTTTTCCCCCAAAAATAAAGCCCACGTGTTTCCTTCATCCAGGTGGCTCCTGACTTTAATTAAAACTATAGAAGTTACTGAAATGTATCCTGCTATCTATAAAAGGAGAAATTATTAGCCCTCTTCCATTTAATACATTTTTGCCAGATTTTATGTACTGTATAGCATCTAATCTTGGTCTTTTTTTTTTTTTTTAAGGAACAGTGTAAAAAAACCACTCAACTCTTTAAAATTGAATTATTAACTATGGTAACAACTTCTTAAATGCATGAAACTTAAATCTGCTATTAACTGACAAATGTAAAGGAAGTATATATTAACTCATGAATGACAGTATGGGGGGCTGGAGGGGGGGGACCAGGGGACACGACAACCTAAATACAAATGAAGGAAAACTTAAACTGCTCATTATTGCTTTCAAAATGTAGTGCATTCTCTGAAAGCATCAACATCCGTATGCCAGTAAGCAGTAACGATTGAAGAATTTCCAAGAAACTGCGTATGGTTTACAAATAGTAAATAAGAAAACGTGTGTATACCTTACTTTGTAGAAAATAGCACAACGTAGGAAGCTACAATGTGTAAATGAGGCAACAGGAGTGCAGGAATCAAGGTCTGAAGTAAAGCCACTGAGAGAATTCAACAGTGACCTCGTAAAAGTATACTTGGTGAATTGGTTAACCTTACTTAAAGTGCTGCAGTCAAGATGGAACTAAAAACCTAAGTCTGCCCACTTCTTGTAATAAAGACTTAAAAAACCTTTTCACAGTAGAACCCTGTTTACTGGACTATACCCACAACCTTCCTGAAAGTATTTTGACTATGGCTCTTAAGAAGCTCTATCAGCAGAACCTCTGACTAACAGATACACTATTTTAAGCAATAAAATTTGCACAGTGGTTGCATCCAGACTATACAGCATACTGGATCATGAAATATACTGAAATGGTTTAGTATTTGGAAAGTAATTACCCTGAAAAAAGCTGCACAAAGAGAATTTGTGACTATTTAAAACACAGAGTCATACTGTTCACAATTAAAACCAATGAAAAAAACTTGTTATTTGTATTAAATTACCATTTTGTTTCATTGCCGGATAAAAGATTCTACTTTTTACAGTGAAGTTACTGACAAAATTAAAGAGCCCAAGACTACTGATACTAGCATTCTATTTTTATTCAATAGTACCACGTTGTAATTTGTTTTTTAAATGAATCTTACCCCATATTATGAGGATAGCAAAATAGGTTTGTTTGGTTTTAAAACTGCATCATTTGAAATTTTGAAAAAATCTACTTCCATTTAAATATAAAATAAATTAAATTTTGCAACAGCAAGAATTGATCAACCACCTGTTCTATTACAGAATACAAGCTAGGGCATCTTTTTCTATTGACATGTCCCTCAAGTTTTGTCCAGTACAATAAAATTTACCTTTTAGTTAAAATACAGACAATACTGTAAAATCAAAACTAGTTAAAAAAAAAAAAACCCACACCTAAGAAACTAAAATAATTTATTGAAGTACTGCATTCCATAGTATTACTCTTGCACTTTCAAACTTGCCTCCAAAAAATCTGCTTCTTCCATTAAAAATGTATAAATCTGTATTTACGTATTCATCAATATACACAAATTAAAAAAAAAAGTGAGGAAAAAGATTCTGCATGAATCAGTATAATTTTTTCTATTGTATGTAGAAAGAAATGAAAAAAAATGGCAAGCAGTCATTATCCTGGATGTTCTAGATGGTGTTTATACTTAGGCTCCTACTTTATGACAAACTAGTTAAAGAACAAAACAGAATAAATGGGGGGGCAAGAGGTTGATAGTTCTCCAAGTTTCCACCCCACAAGAATATTTAGAATCCCAATAATGTACTAATAGCTTCTGTATGCTTAACAGCTGGAAAAAAACTTGCAAAAATACAAGTTCTCAGCATGCACACTGCATGATTTGTGTACACATTCCATTTGCAAGTGCTGCAGCAATTCTTCTACATACTTGTATTTCTAGAAGAGCAGACAGGACAATAAAATATTTCTCATTCCATTTTATAGAGAATAAGCACACAGACTTAGAACTTAAACCAGACACAGAAGAGTACAGTGGAATAATTAAACAAAGAACAAAATAATCTTTTTATATTCCTACATTCTATTTCACTTGGGTACAAAATAAACATGACTTTGGAAAATTATTGACAAAATAAAAAACTGTAATAAAATAATGTTCAGAACTACATACATTTTAGAGCTAAAATATATTTCATTTCAGGTTTGCTATTTGTACGTCACCAAAATAATAAGGATAGAACTTGCATCGACTTTATCAAACTTAACTGCAGTCTTGGTACTTAAAAATGCTTTCCCCAGCTTTGGTTTATTAAGCTCACCAGGCTAAATTGTTTTTAATGGAATACTATCATGCTTACAAATTGAACCACCACAAATTAATGAAAGCCTCAGTTTAGACCCCCAATTGTTCAGAAGCAAACTTTAAGTAGCAACCATTCTTTTTTATTATTTCTTTGCATTTTCCATGCAGCATGCTGCAACTGGCATCTAAATAGTTTCTTTGCCGAAGTGAACCATCTTGAATGCTCAAACTGTATTTTTATGAGTGCCGAGGGACCCTAAATTTTAGTGGTCTATTAAATGCCAGCAATTTCATGCTGCCTTGCATAAAACAGCATTCACATATTAGAGCACAGCGATTCCATAGCTACATTATACTTCTCCCCCACAACACAAATACAAAGTTCAGTATACTTTATTTTTTTTAAATTATGTATCTTTCAAAAAACTTACATTTTGTAGGTAGTTCATTTAAAGTTATATTTTATTTATTCTTTTGCATTATTACACTATCCACTCAAATAAAATGCTCAATTACAGTATCCACTTGAATAACATTCTGTATTTGTCTATCAAAAGTAATTTTTAAAAGTATAGCTAACTGATCTTTCTGTAGAACTTAATCTGTTATTCATAAAAGACCTACAAATGCACAACCCTTTGCCACTTGGTATCTACATACTAAGAAATATAATAAAAAAACAAATCACAAATTATCTTTTCTGCATGAAAAGCAGCATATAAGCTTATTTTATGTACTGCATTTTCAAGACCTTATCTCTGCAAGTCTTAGTGTCGCCAGCACTTTCCATGTTAGGTTCTTTATTCTCTTACCTGGCAATGTTATTCTTTTCAAAAAGAAGTCCAATCCTACAGTTTGTTTATACTGTTTCCCAAAAGCTTCTTGGGCAAAACGCGTGGCTAAGGATGTCTGAAAACAGAACCAGATCAAATTAATTTGGTATATAAAAGTCAACAAGCCCAATGTAAAAGCAGAGTTATGAAATAAGAGTCAAGTAACTTTCTAATCAATGCCTGCTGATGGTGGTTACCGCTTGTCTGTATTAGCAAACAGACAAGCATTCTGGTCAGCTGAAAATACAGCAAAAGATATTATAATAGCATGGTATGTATATAAAAAGAAGCCATAATGTTGCGTTTCCTTTACATTTTTTCAAATATTACAATATTGAAAATCCAGAATTTTACACTGTTTCTGCATGCTATTACTGCACAAAAATGAAGTGATGCAGTTCCTACCCATAGTTATACTTTTTAAAGCAAGTTCTGATTTGTAGAAGAACCAGCTCTTGGCAGAACACAGCAGTTATTAAGGGAACAGGCATTTGCCCCCTACCACAGACTTATTGGGGCTCTCTGTGGATTCAAGGATAGGACTTATCTGGCAAACATGTACATGCATTAAAAGGCTAAGTTTTGTAAAACTGTGTATACATACATTTTCATATTCATGCCCTTAAACAGTACCCTGGGAATTGTTTTCCTAAATATTACATTTTACAAAACTACATTTACAGCAACGTGGTTTGCTACACAACTGTTTTCTAGCACAACAGATACAATATTTATTAAAGTATTTGTGAAAAGAAGAGAAATAAAAAAAGAGAAAGTGTATGTGTACACACAAACCATGATATAAAAAGGATACAAAGAGTATAGGACATCAACTGTATGCATACTTACAACTTTTGAAAAACTAATAGACTTCATTAAAATTCATGCCATGCTACACGCACACCTCTGTATTGCAGATGAGTGCCAAGCATTTATTACACTTCTTGTTAACAAAACGTCTACAAATCTGAAAATAAAGCAATGCCAGAAGTTTTTTACATTTCTATACCTATGTGTACAAAAACCGGTATCAGGTAACAGCTTCAAAAAGTCCTTCCACTACCAAGGACTAACAGTCAAAGTGAGCAGAAAAGGAATTTAACCAACCCTTCAGTTTATTAAGACTTTAAAAAAAAAACAACACCCCCCACCCCCCCGCAAAGTGCTGAAATTAAAAACCGGTATTAGAAAATACCAAGTAAATATGACATGCCTTAAACAATATACAATAGTCCTGTAAGGAAAAACATATAAGTTGCAATACCATTATGCAATACAATATGGAAGAAATAAGAGACACTAGAAGTTTGTTGCAGAAAAATAAATTAAAAGTTTGTACCCTTTATGCATAAGAAGTTAACGTTAATGTCATAGCCAGGGGAGTTGACAACCAAGGTACAAATGTGAATAAGAAAACATTTATTCAGAAAGCTATAAAGTTGTTTAAAAAAAATAATACAAAAAGTTGCTTGATTGCCCATTCAAATTTGGATAAATGTCAGAATAATAGGTATTTTGAAAGCAAACAATATTTTAGAACCTGAACCAAAATCCATTAAAAGTAGTAGGAAACTCTCCTTTTACTTCAGAGAACACAGACCTATAGAAAACTAAGAAAATAATTTTTAAAATAGCCAATACAAATGGTATTCTCTCTCAGGGTTCCTAGTGAAAGGTTGAGGACCACAGAACATGAGTCTTAAGGACATTCTAACTGTTCCCTCTGGCTATTATTTCAAGTGCATATTCAGAATAAAAGCTCGGTACAAATTTTGACTGGAATACTAAAAACTCAGTAACACTAATTTTGTAATCTCAATACTTGCACTTTACAAACTTTTTTTACTTGCGTATGAAACAAATATTACTGGCAGACTTAAAAAAAAAAAAAAAAAAAAAAAAGTGTTGCAGGAATGTACTCTATACCTTCCTCTTCCTGTAAACTGAATGCTACTTTGCAAAACATGTAGGATGCTCTTCATGTAATTTTTCCTTTTATTAGAAAATAATGACTAGCATCTTAGATGCGGAACAAAATATCATCTGACTTTAGAAATACAGAATGTTAATTTAGATTCACATTAAATAAGCAACTATTCCCTTCTTGTTTTAAAGGGTTCAATAAATATTAACTTTATCATTTTGCAACACCTGATATTCCCTAAATGTTTCTAGGGGTGTTAATAAAAATAAACAACACACATTCAATCAACAGCCAGCCAAATATCACAACAAATAATCAACAGCATGGCCAAGTTCTCTTTATAGGAATTTATAGCAGAAAATCATTGACTAACTTTTTAAATACTTTAAATGAGTGTTAGGGCTCATGAAAGGTGTTGGATTGCCAGCTTTGGAGACTGGAGTCCTCTATTTATTCATAGAGTAAGTATTTATCCACAAGAATACTAACAGCAGCAGTTCAAGTTTCTCCACATCAACAAATGGAGAAATATGCTCAATGAGGCTCTTCTGTAATGCCAGACCTTCTTCCAATTCTAAAAATGATTTTTTACAGCCATTCTTGGAAAAGCTTAATGAAGAATATTGCTAGTATCTGTATTCTTTGATCAAGGTAAAAAAAAGTTGTTTTTTGTTTAAATAGTTCGTAAAATCATCCAGCCTTCCAAGAAAAAGGATGAGTTTTTCAGTCACTTTAAGGTTTGTCCACCCCCAGAAATTCATTAATAAATCTGGAGAAGTTTTTGGATTAGGGGATTTTGTAAGGGAGCATTGCCCTCATTCCCTTCTTGACTAACACCCAAGTGGAACACCGACTGGTGTTCCACAGCTAAGACTCTGTTTAGGTCCCAATTCGGCAAGCATGTAAGTACATGTGTAAATTTAAGCAGATGCTTATGTGTTTTGCTAAATAAGGATAAACTGCTGAATCTCAGCTTTAATGTATATGCTAGATAACATTTAAGTAGCCCTTCTTTTACCCAAAGACTCCAAGATGCTGAATTAAAAATTGTCAGTAAGGTTATAAAAAATAAATATTAAAAACAGATAAACTTAAAAAAACAAAGGTGTGGGCAGGGGGTTATTTTGTTTACATGATGGAGTGATGGGTCCCTTTATAACGAGAATACATTTTAATGTAATAAGTAAAAAAAGATAAATACTTGATAGCTCATCCAAAAACATAAGCAACAACTCATTGCATGACCCATGTTGGCACTGTTGCCATAAACAAACAAACAGTAACATACATGCATACATACATATATACCCTCATGTGTTAGCAGGCAAGTTAAAGGGTAGATACAGTTACTGCCAGATAGCATCAGTCATAACACCTCACCAACGGCTCAGTAGCGGCCTTTGCCTTTCCTAACTGGGTGACCGCCTGGGGCCCCGCACTTTATAAAAATAAAAATTAATTACACTGAATATTCGTATTATCAATACTGTATTAAGATACTTTCATTGCAGTCACATGGATAGGGCAAAGTGAAATTGAAATTAAAAAAATGTCTGACCTGCTCCTAGGTCATCAAAATTAAGCCTCTAAGGGGCCCCAAATGACTCTCTTGCCCATGGCCCCAACAACGTTAAGGCTACCGTCTAAAAAGATTACGAATTACTGGCTTAGAGATACTGTAGGCTTCAGGTCATATCCCTGCCAGTTGTATTTAGTAGCCCTTGATGGACCTACCCTTCATAAATTTGTCCAATCCATTTTTACCCAATTATACTACTGGCTTCAACATGATCCTATGGCAATAAACTCCACAAGTCAATTATACATTGTGTATAAAGAGTACTTCCTTTAGGTTGTTTTCAACCTCCTAATTTCAGGAGGTGCTCCATACATCTTGCATTATAAGTAGGGTCCACTGGAACTTGCACCGGAAGCGTGCCACACAGCAGCTCCTCTAACCTTGCCATTTCACCCATGTACACCCCTACCGCTGATTGACAGAGGGGCCGCAGCAGTCCCACCGCTTGCTGCTAACCGGATGGGAGTGGGGAAAAAAAAAGTGGCATATTTAAATATGCCACAGTTTTTTTCTCCCATCTGGTCAGCAAGCAGCAGGGCTGCCAGGGCTCCTCAGCCAATCAGCAGCAGGAGACAAAAGCCACAGCAAATTTAAAACTGCAGCTTTTGCCTCCCAGCTGATAAAGTGTGAGCGGCGAGGCCCCTCTGCCAACCAGTGCAGGGAGGGGCACATGGGGAAAACTGCAAGATTAAAGGAGCCGCTGTGTAGCACACTTCCAACGCAAATTCCAGTAGTCCCTAGTTATAAGACACAGTGAATAACTTACCTGTAGCTCCCTAGTGTCTTTCCAGATCATTAACAGCCATGATGACCTTTGTTGCCTTTCTCTCCATCTTTTCTGGTTCCAGTATATTCTTTGAGGTGGGATGACATTCAGTATTCAAGATTAGGACACACCATGGGCTTATAATGGCAGTGATGCTTTGTTCTTAATTCCTCTCCTAATTCCTAACATTTTACTCACTTTTATTCACAGTTGTTAAACCATTGCATGTTGACCTGTTATTTCAGAACTATCCGCAATGATTACCAAGTCCAGTTCCCCAAATGAACACCTAATTCAGAGATGACTATTGTGTCATGTGCATTTTTCTCTATGTAAATTACATTTTCCCTTAGCACCACTGAATTTCATCTATCACTCTGCTCAGTTTTGTAAGAACTTCCTGTAACACTTCCCCAGCAGCATAGCTTTGTACCAGATTATCCACTTATAACCTGGATTTATTTGCTTTCCCACAATGAAAGAAAGTCCATTGAAAGAGAACTGATCAACCCTAAAAAAAGTGAAGATTCTGCATGTAAATTTTACTTTTTGTATTTAGGCTGACCAATGGCTCCTTGCATGATATCACCCACACCCAGGGCTCAAAATTGAGACTACAGTATTATAGTGTGGAATAAAGTTTAATAATATCTGTTGAGCACTTTGAAATCTTCAAATGAAAAATGGCATAAAAATACAAAGTACTAGAAGAGTAGAAAGGCTCTCACACATAGAATGCCCATGAAAATAATATTGGCACCGTTTCTGAAAAGCACTACGAAGAAAGGAGTTCTTCCCTTGTACTAT